CCCATCCCCACATGTGTGGCATTTAAAAGTACTAGGAGCTGGTCGTTGGGTGGCTGGCGTGTGGGCCCGGGATGGACATCAAGCGGACGTGCGATGCTTCTGTCTCCTATCCACGAGGACGCAAATCAAAAGTCAAATTTGGGCTGGAAATGAGACCACGCGGACATGAAACGTGAAATGAGTCGCCACGTTGGGCCGTGGTTTCTATCCACGCGGTCAAAAACTGACATGCGGATGAAATGCATTGGAGTTGCCCATAGAGTAGACTTTTGTTGTTGTTTAGTCTCACGAAGAACAAATCTTGGGAAATCTACCTAGTTATAGATTTGTTGACAAGGTAACAAATGTAATCATGGAATCTTTGATGTCTCAGGGGTAAGATTTGGCTAATGTTGTTGTAGATGCTGTTACGCTTTGGACATGCAGGGGCTTATATATACGCGCACACGCATACTCTATCCCTACGAGTACCTTTAAGAGACTGAGCCGGCATAAAAAATACTGAAACAAATTTTAAAAAATGCGAACACCGGGACTTAACTTGGTGGGCTGAGAATACCACTGCCCTTCTAACCATACAACCACAGGTTGGTTCACCCATGTCATGGAATGTTTGAAATGTAATATAGTATACACATAAAGAAATCAGTGACACACTACTAATAAAATGTAACATATAATAGGTGAAACAGAAACAATTTTGTATTATTTCAGAGACAAACAAATGCAACAACATACACATGAACAAATCAACTACATGCTACAGCTCGCTTGAGTACCATTTATTTAGTAATGATACAGAGGAATTTTTGCTGAGAAACTGTGATACAAAGTTGGCGAGAGCGAACCCACCCTACATGAACTTGGCCTTGATAGCGTCCACTTGGCTGTTGTCGATCCGGAAGGCCTTGGCCAGCACATCGCTAGGCACCGGCGGTGCGGCAGCGAAGAGCGTGGTGGCGATGACTTGTGTGCCTTGGAGCTGGCTGTTGAAGCCGGCGATGATGGAGGCGGGGCCACGTCCCCTGTTCTGCTGGAAGTGCACGAGGCCACGCGGGAAAACGAACACGTCTCCGACGGTGACAGTCTTAGTGAAGAGCTTGTTGGCGGTGGTGATGAAGCCCACCTCCAGGATTCCTTGGGTGACGAAGATGATCTCGGTGGCGCGCGGGTGGGTGTGCGGCGGGTTCTGGCCTCCGGGCGCGTAGTCGATGCGCGCCATGGACACAGCGAGCGTGTTCACCCCAGGAAAGGACTGTACATTCGCCGCCGTGACGTTTGACCCTGCCGGGTTGTTGGTGTTGCCGGCGTTCTTGAGACCGGCAAAGAAGAAGTCATCTGCAGTGATGGCCGCCTTGCATGGGAACCCGTTCAGCTTGATCGCTGCCGCCATTCATTTTGAGGAAAACACTGCATCAGCAAGAACCGGCACGAAAGATGCAAGGACGAGCTTGAGAAAGATGATGACTCACGGGATGCTAAGTCAGCGACGCAGACGTCCTGGAGCATGTCGGCGTCCCCGGCCAGGGAGGAGGCAGCTAGCGAGAGGAGGACGGTGCAGGTGGCAACCGCGGAAAACTGAAGCATCACCATGATCGATTGGCCAATGCTTGCTTGCTATCAGCTTGGTGGTGTAGTTGTGAGAGTGCTTCTTGGGTGTGGAAATTAGCAACGGTAGAGCTGGTACTTATAGGCAGTGTGGTTTGTGTATGGACTATGAAACTATGGATAGCATCGCCGCCTCAAGGTCGTAGGCTTGGGGATGGGGAGGGAAACACGCAAGAGCCTGCGCATCTGATTCCATTAATTTGGAGCCAATGGGGATATATTACTGGCAGGCTAGTTCCTGCTGCACATGCGTTCTTGAAGGACCATGATCCATCCATTCGTTGGAGACAACAGACCCGAGTTGCACATGATAGTTTGTATCGTACTTAGACCAAGTTGAGCTTATTTTTCGGGCCGGGGTGGCAAGCTGTTCATTTGGATCAGAGAGGAGTCATCATTTGGTCAATTACTCCAAGAAACTATCCTGATTTTACTTCTGACTTTTGCTGCTTACGAGTCACGAGGCTGAGCTGGGATAGCTCTCGTACAGAGAAGAATAGAACCCATGGTGGAATTGTCTGACCTAGTCCTCCTGCATGTTATGACGGAGATCTCTTGTCAAGAAAAAAAGATTAAGAACATCTACAGCTGGATTTAACAAATCCCGCACATTAAATCGTTCGTGGACGTGTCCGACCACTGTCCGGGCATGTTTGTTTTGACCCCCTATTTGTTCGTGCATGGAGCCACGGTCCTCATTTTCTCTTTGTATGCCCGGTCACTTGCATGTGATTAGAGAAAATGAAGAGAGAAAGAAAAGAAAGAATAAAAAAGAGAAAATATGGTCCAAGGTGTGCCGCAACCTACGTGGCGGACTAACCTGGCGCGTCCGCGTGCCCTCATGTCCTCTCCATATTTGATCTCAATATGAGGGTTTGCAGACAAACTAGACGTGTAGGGATGATATAAAGGGTCTAGCTAGGTTATCTTTTCCCTTCTTCGGTCACTGACTGGGTGCGCCCACAGATGTTTGAGGAGGATTTGAGGGGATCGACTGTAGATGCTCTAAGGCCACGTTCTAGTGTTGTGGAATCAATCAAGTTGATATCCTTAAAGATCGAGTTGGCAACGACCGTTTGGTTACCGGAAATCATGAGTTCATGGCGACTCCCGGTAAAATTCACAGACCAGTTAAAAAGCCAAGCTACTTATGCTGACCAATCAGATGCAAACCCTGGCAGCTACAGAGCAAATCAATAGCTGGCCGGCTATCTCTATCACTGAAAATAAGTGCTTGCTCGTGGACAAGGAAGGAGACACTCTCTTCCCTTGTCCGAAACGCTCATCGTCGTCTACCAGTTGTCGTGTTCCGGTCGTAGCCAGTCTCGGCAGCCGGAAACTTGGCATTCTTATTTAGGTCCGGTGATTTGAAACATTATCTCCCCGAGCAGGCATGCGGGCTGATGCTCCTTTTAGGTCAGTTACACTTGGAAGCTAGCAAAGGTAGGCCATCGCGCTGGCTTGCTTTGCCATGGTACCATGCTAAAACACCCTTAATTAACAAGTACTCCTAATGCTACTTACCGTATGTTTGTTTTGGGAACGAAATGGAATGAAATGTAATGATTCCATTCCATCAGAATGGGTCGATTCTGTTCCTGTGTTTGGTTTAGAACAATAGGTGGAATGGAATGGTTATGTTCCAGTGTTTGGTTGAAGAGATGAAATAGAATGATTTGGTTCTTCACCTCTTGAGATAATTTTCAACAACCATGATTGACCATCAACATATAACCCTCTCTTTATGTAAAATTTGTACTCAAAACAACTTTTCTGAAAATAGACAACAAAACTTATCCCCAATTTCAACAGAGCACACAGATGTAGCTCAATCAAGCTAAGTAATCTATTTTCTCTATTTTCATCAACAAAGAACAAAATTGATGCTAGATCTGCTACTGCTGCTTCAAAATTGACACCACAGATGCTATTACTGGCACTACTAAAATGTATCATCATCAGTACCGTGTAAGCTTAGATTGCTTGCCTGATTCGTAGCCTTTAGCAGTAGAGGCAGATGAACTCTAGATTAGAAGTAGTCACAGAAGCCGAAGTTGAATCGATCAAACAGTTCGTGAGCTGCTCTCATGGTCTGGTGAGTGGGTTGGGGAGCGGGGCTCCACCCCCTTGTCAGAGTTGTAGGGGAGCAGGTCGCCACCATGCCCGACGCATTCCCCCGATGTCCAGATCTTCGACTGTGCGGTCTCCTTCGCTGGTTGCTCCGCGTGGTTCCTGCCATGGGCGTCGTCTTCTGGCGGCGGATCTGGGAGCGCTCAGATCTAATCAGGGATGGAGGCTGCTGACTGGGGAGTGGCCGGTGGCCCTGCGGGACAGAGGTGGTGATGCAACTGGTGGCCAGGCTCTGCAGGTGCGGTGTGGCAGGGGCGCCATGAGCATATGGCCAGGGCGTGGAAGCGCGAGGTGAAGCGGTGGTGATTGGAGCACCAGCGACACTGAGGTGCTGTGGGTGGTCGAGTTCAGATGCACATGATGATGGATGAAGGTTCGTCGAGCAGATCCGGGTGGAAGCCGTGCTCTCGGCTAGGTGCCAAGGCCGGCGATGGCGGCGCTTTTCTGTGTCATATCCTTCCTGAAGGCATCGCCGTGGAGAAGCTCAATACCTCAATCCGCTACCTCCGGGGGAAACCCTAGCCCTCTTGGGGGCGTCATTCTTGGAGGTTGCATTTCGACTCGAGGGACCAGTGGAAGGCGACTTTGGTGGAGCGATGCTTCATCTTATGCAATGATGGCGGCGGATCTCGGCAGCGTGGCGCAGTGGAGAATCGGTGTCCGGTGCGCGGAGATGGACTCACGCAGGAGGAGGACGCTGTCTGGCGTCATGGTGGCGTCGATGGCAGAGAGGCCTAGTAAGGTCGATACATCAGGTCTCTCTGAGGATGGATCGATGGAAGATGGAGGTGATGGCCCTTGCAGCGTGCGGTGCTCACTGGGAGTGTGACGTACCGGTATGTGACCCAGTCTAGGGAGTGGCTTGGAATGGGCATCCGGCTTTAGATGTTAGGTTTTGGTGTGATGTCTGTTTGGTATTAGGCTCAGACATTCGACACCCCTTCTTCAAGGGTTAGGAGTAGCAACAGGCATTGCCAAGATGGTGGCTTCAGACTCTTTGATCTATTACCTTGTAAGGTCTTTGGGAATAATTAAGAATATGGCCAAGGACATGTTTGGTGGGGGCAGATTCAAATTACGCAACCTATCTATTAGAAATTGCACGCATGCAAAAGAAAAAGACACAAAGGGTCACGAGTTGATTTTTTTGGAAAGGCCTTCTAGCTTTATATATGTCTGTGCTTCCAATGGCGGTCGAAGACTTGGGCTACCATTTGATTCCCTTGAGTGGGATCTTTGTAAAGTCGGTGACCTTGCTGATGTTGGTCTCGTGCTTTGATCTGCTCCTCGTATACATGGTAATGTCCTGTTGTGATGTCCACATAAGGGTTGTGAGTGTGTACACATATCAATGCAAGATGCTTCGGCTTGCAGCAGGGACTTCTTCATGGAAAGTGGGGGCGGCAGTACAAGACGAGTCAAGTTTTGTGATGCCTTTGAGCACAAGGTCTCGAACTCCGGAGAGAAAAATCTTGGTTTGGCCTGCTTTTTCTTTTACCTGTCAATGGTAGTGGTTCACATCATCTTCTTGTTGGAGGCATTATCTAGAGTTTACTCGGACTCCCTCTTCGTGGTGAATACCCATGATCTAGCCCCAATGGGTGGATCTAGAGACATCGACACTTGCAACATCGTTCGTGGAGGAATGGTTGTCGAAGCACTTTTCCCATAGCCGCTCTACCATCGACGGTGGTTGATGTTGAT